ATTATTATAATTATCATGACAATAATTATCATAATAATAATTTAATGAGATAAACTATAAATTTGATCGAGTGAGCGAAGCGAGCCGGTTTGGGAGGAAATTTGAGAGAAAATGCTCTCAGTCGTTTTAAATTAGGGCACATAATTATTATTACTTTTTTTCAATCTCTTACGTTTTCGCCTTCTATAATACCTTTCTAATTCAGACATACTATATTGTGTTAATCAACACGGGAGCCTATTCACATACAAGCTTTGCTTTTTATTAAGGCTCCCCACGTTTTACATTGTATTACCTTGCCTGTCATATCTATGTATTTCGAAACTTCGGTCTTATTTCCCCGTACATTATACTAGATTTGAAATTATTATTATAATTTTTTTTTTTTTTTGGGGGGGGGGGGTGTAATCTACGCTTATATAGTTGTATATAAAAACTAAAATTGTAATTATTTTTGATGTAAATGTGAAACAAATAAGCTTCAAACTTCAAACATCAGGGAATTTGTTATATGAGAAATCTATTGTTTTTAGGGAGAAGGGGTGATAACAACATTTTTTCATAGCACGTGTGGTAATCACGTCTCAGTCTTTTTATCACGAATGCCATTTGGTAATTTAAATGCAGTTGCCTGAATTCAAAAACTCCGAAATTGTCTAAATTGCATATTCTCGAGCAACGGGCAGTTGATTACATTGGCATTGTTATGAAGGGCATCATGAGCATGGGCAGGCGCGTACGCCACCCCACTGAACGGAATATCGGTCGGCGCGATTTTCACATTTGCGGGGGCAAACAAAAATTGTTCTCTTACCCCCCCCCCCCCCCCCCGAGCACGATTATATTTCTAAAAGGGGCACAGCCTTTTGCTCTTATGAAATGATTGTGCCCCTGCCCTGGGTCCACTGCCTTGCATTGTGGTGTTTAAAAAAAGTTTCTATTGCTACACGAAGCTGCTCCGATTCTTTCAAACTATTGTACCTCTTTAAACAGGTAAGATGACCGCAAAATGGGATTAAGCGACAGTGGGGACATAGGTATAAAAAAGGCACATATTTATCGAAGGGCAATTACGTCAAAAGTAACAAGGGAAACTTATCAAATTTGAAAGGGAAACTTATTATATGTGAAAAGGGGCATTTATAATAATAGGAAGGGGATCGTATTAGAAAAAGAAAATGGGTACGTATCAAAAGGGAAAAGTGCACTAATTTTTATTAAAATGGAAAAGGGGGCACCTGTCAAAGTAAAAAGGAGCACTTATCAGGATTTATTAGAATGCAAAATGCACTTATTATAAAGGAAAATGGGCTCTTGTCAAAGTAGAAGTGGCACATATCAGATTTGGATTGGGGGAATCAACACAGAGGTGGAAAGGGGGGGGGGGGGGCTCCCCCGGGAACGCCACCTCTTACTGTTACTCAGTGGCGTAGCGTGGGTTCAGTCATGGGGGGGGGGGGACAACAGTCTTTAGTCTACTATAACAACGTTTTTCAACCTCATCTTTTTTAGTCACGGCATCTTTAAGGAGTTGAAAAGTTTCGCGTGACCCTAAATCCGAATTCGTCAAAAAGGATTCGTTGTCCATCCCTCGCAGTACACATAGACGTGAGGGCCTCTTGCCCCGAAATTAACTAACCGGATCTGAAATATTGCGAGCGAGTAAAATTTTCAGTACTTTTATTGTGGAAAAAATGTAATTTAGTCATCAATATACACTAGATAAAATTGAAGAGTTATCAACGTTGCGAGAATTGAAGCGAACGAGGACAATAAAAGACCCTTTGTTGTAGTACGGTATTAATTTCATTTCGATATAAAATACAACAATTAAGGTTCTATTCCCCGGTTATATTCGGGCAGCGAGGTGCCCTAATATCATCATATCATCATATGGGAATGGTTATGGCCCTCGCTATCTGACACTATCCCGTTTCTAAATTTTGCGAGCGAGCGAAGCGAGTAAGACAAAAGTATACTTTATATCTCAAAAATGTTATTTCTTCATCAAACCTAGCGAGATTTCTTTATATATTTGCGCATCTTGCAGTTTCTGAAATTGACGTTATTTCAAAATACATGTATGCTTTTGATATAGCCTAACTAAAAATATGCCTACTCTCGCGACGTATAATAATAAAAATTATAATAAAATAAAATTAATGCACTTCTTACAGAACATTTCATTTGAGACTTATCATGTTGTCCCTACGTTACTGATTCACATATAATCCTACATTACTATAATTTTTTTTTTCTTCCCCCCCCCTCACTTTATCACTATGAGTATGATTCTATTTGTACTTAAATTTCTGTAAATATGTTCACTTATTATAACTTGAATATTTGTTTGTAAATTGTATTTTCATTGTTTTATATTCTTTTATATGTAATCACGGCCTCGCTGAAAAACAGCTTTTGCTGAATGCGGGCACAATAATGTATTATGTTTTTAACCGTGAATAAATAAAATATACCATACCATACCATACTATCACGTTGTTTTTCCTTTTCCTTCATCTTTTTTGTTTTGCCATTCGTTTAGGCGGGTCGTTGGGACGCCCCCTGTACCCCCTTAGCCACGTACGCCACTGCTACTACCGTGCTACTACTACTACTACTACTACTACTACTACTACTACTACTACTACTACTACTACTACTACTACTATTACTACTACTACTACTACTATTACTACTACTACTACTACTACTACTATTCAGGGGCGTCTCTAAAGGGGGGGGGGGTGTGGGGTGCGACACCCCAGTGTCAGGATATTGTCGGTAAAATTGCGCTGCCGTCGGGGAAAAAAGGGGAGGGGGAAAAAAGAGGGAAAGCATAAGTATGTTGCTGTGTTGGGTCAGCTGTATCGGTATTCTTGCTCGATCCTCGTGTACTATATATCAATGCAGAAGTTTGAAGCCGGTGAGATGTATAATGTCGGTTGGCCGACAAGTTTTTTTCCCTACGAACTATGACTTTTTATTCGCTATGACGACTTCGAGAGAGACTGCAATTATAATACTTGTATTTTCACGAAGTTTCACTTTCCTATAATATCAGCTAAAGAAATCAGAGGTTTAAATTTTTCGGGTAAACTAAATTCAAATAAGGATTAAGAGTCAAGAACGTTACAACGAATAGTATTTTTTTCTCTATTTTTAATGAAACGCCAAAGCTTCCGCGTTTCGCGCGGGAGGGGGAAACTTCATTCAGATAAGGATTAAGAGTCGAGAACAGTACTACGAGTCGTCTTCTTTATCTAATAATTTAATTAAACGCCAAAGCTTCCGCGCTTTGCGCGGGAAGGGGAAACTCCATTCAGACAAGGATAAATAGTCGAGAACAGTACATCGAATCGTCTGCTTCCTCTCATAATTTATGGAAACGTCAAAGCTTCCGCGATTCGCGCGGGAGGGGGCGGGGGGTTATGAATTCAGACAATTATGGTTAAGAGTAACGAACGGTACAACGAATCGTCTTCTTTCTATAATAATTCAACGAAATGCCAAAGCTTCCGCGTTTCGCGCGGGAGGGGGAAAACTTCATTCAGACAAGGATAAAGAGTCGAGAACAGTACAACGAATCGTCTGCTTTCCTCATAATTTAATGAAACGTCAAAGCTTCCGCGCTACGCGCGGGAGGGGGGGGGGGGGGAGGCGCGGATCCAGGATTTCTTAGGGGAGGGGGCCCAACTTTTTTTTGGCACTCCAAAATTTAAAAATTTGCACCCCCCCCACCTTGAGCGCCAGGGGGGGGGGGGGGGGGGGCATCGCCCCAAAAAAGGTAAAAATCACGTTTACACGTTTTTTTTCCCAGGGGGGGGGGGAACTGAATTCAGACAATTAGAGTCGAGAACGGTACAACAAATGGCCTTCTTTCTATGATAATTTAATAAAACGTCAAAGATTTCGCGCTTCGCGCGGGAGGGAAAAAACTGACTTCAGACAATTAGGGTTAAGAGTCGTGAACGGTAGATAAATCGTTTTGGGGTTAACCCCCCCCCCTCAATTTTTTGTCAAATAAAGAAAAAAGAAGAAAAAAAAAATAAAACAACTGACCTTACCCCCCCCCCCCCCCCCCCCCCCCCCCACTGAACGAAAATCGGTCGGCATAATTTTCCAATTTCCGGGACAAAAAAAAAAAAAAAATGTGCTCTTACCCCCCCCCCCCCTGATTCAGCGGCCGGCTGGCTGAGTCGTTGCGAAAGTTTCGTCGCGATTTTCAAATTTTAACCCCCCCCCCCCCTTGAAAAAAATCCTGCGTACGCTACTGGCTATGATACTGACTAATATTTGACGAAATAATTCGTATATTTATGTCGTCGAGGAAAAGGACCATTTGCGCATCCGCAATTAGATTATAGAAAGTATAGATAGTTCATATGAAAAACAATTTAGCTTTCGGCTCCAGGTTCTATAATTATATAGGGTTAAATTTGTAGACATTGGGACGTTAAATTTTGTCGGTAATTGGTGGCTAGTTCTGTCGGTAATCGGTGGCCTCTATATACACCCCCCTTCCAACACTGAAAAAGGCGCGCGACGCCCCTGCTACTATTACCTATTACCATATTTCTACTACTACTACTAGACCCTAGTGATGATTCTGATGATGATATTTTCTCGTAGCGCATATTTATACAAAGTCCCTATGCGTTTTGCATAGTATTGCATAACGTTGATGTATCTTTCTCTACAATTATCAAATATGTAATTAAAATGATATAGACTGGGGTCTACTTATAGAAAAGTGATTAATGAAATAAAATAGCTCATTTAGATCGAGCTTTCAGATTTGAAAGTTGTTGTTTAAACATAATGATGCATGATCGCCATTCGTTTATCTACATGTGTAATGTTTATTCAAAGAAGTTTTAAATTTCATGAAATTAATGAAAGAAGTGATGGCGAATATCATTACGGATTTATCTATGGGACTTATTGACGTTCGCGCGCAATCCTTTTAAAACCCCGCGCTTGTCCTATTGTATTGCTTGAACACGTGTGGAGACATTTCAACGCATTTTGCAACGCCACCGTAATTTTGCAGTACAATTTGGACGGCCTATAGATTTCAACGCAGAATCGCACCGTGTGTTATATTTCGTGTGGGAAGACAAGAAAATTCTTCAAAATGCCTGACTCAGATTCAGAAGAAGAGCCTACCATAGCTTCAGACGTCGTCGTCACCAAGTATAAAATGGTTGGCGATATGGTTAACGGTAAGTTGGACGAGTTGTCTATGACGTTATTGAAATGACTGATGAGAAAAACGAAACATTTATCGGTGGAAAAGTTGTACCAGATGGATCACTCACGAATCGTGCATGTACAGATTGCAATGCAGTGCAGTGTGGTGTATGCATGTGTTGTGTGCGTATGGATATTCATTCATTCATTTTTACCAATGTCCAATGCATGCTCGATTGTGGAAGGTAGATCTACATAGTCTAGACAGAGTCAGAATGTTTAAAATCTTTTATGGCATATATATACTTCTTCCTGCAGTCATAATAATAGCTTATGATTTGAAGGGAATTTGCTATTGTATTAATTTGATCTGTTGTCGATGTGAGCTGAGCCTGAGCACATGATTTTAATTATAAATTTGAAAATTGTAGTGTGTTAGCTGTTGAGACCCAACTTGACTTAAAAGTTTGAGTTCAAAATCAAAGACTATGAAATGTTAAAATGATAAAGAGCATTGAGTGATTGGCTGATTATCTGATAAATATTGTTTTGTGTGTAAAAATGTAATTCTGTTGTGAAATCCTTTCTTTATTTCACTTCTAAATAAAAAGATTGAATTAATATTTAAAAGTGACAGAATAATCAGCTTGTTGGTTGTGGGTTGGTCATCAGGAAGAAGAGAAATACAAGATCGGTACACACAAGAAGCTTACAATTAGAAATGATACAAACAGGCGACCGCTTAAACTAAAACAACAAAGTGAGTCCTGTGGCTAATTAAAGCTTGACTATTGATCGTACGATTGATGAATTTCATGTTATGTTTTAATGACACGTTGAAAAATTGTGTTTCAATTACTATACTCTATAGGTCCTATGCGAAATCATTTTTGTGCTATGGGGCCTTGGACTTGTGTGACATTGGCTATTAACTTAATCCAAAATGTTAACTTGATATCCAATATGGTAGCACCTTCAAAAAATTATTCTGAAATTGACTTCATGAAGGAAAATGCAATTCTTGCTTCTTACATGATACTCTCATCGTACTCCTTCCCTTTTTTCCTCTCAAATTCTGTGAGCATTCGTTTTATGAAAGCAGGTACCAAGTTTACTCTGATTAATTTAATACTTAATAATACCGTGAAGACATATTTAATATGCTTCTGCTACCCCATTCTTTGTAGGAGCTAACATAGTTCTCAAGTCTTTACTTTATTTTTCTCTGTTTCTCTCAGATGTCCTGAAGCAGGTAATGGTCAAATGTGTGGCAGGTGCAGAGGTCGTCTCCATTTGTGATTTTGGAGACAAGACTCTAGAAGAGATGACAGGCGGGGTCTACAAGAAAGACAAAGAAATGAAGAAAGGTACAAAGGGTATTTTGAATGAAATGAAATGGTATTGAAAAGAGCAAACAATGTAACTGACTATGTTTGCAATTTCATTTTCAAATGTGCTCTTAATTTGTTTTCAATTTAGATAAAAAACTTAATATTGGACCTGATATAAGCATTTTCTTTTAAATATTATATCTGCATGACAAGTTTTTTGCTTCTTTTAGCTGATGGGTCAGATTATATGAGCCTGTTATTTTGGTGAGGTTGTTTGTAGAATAATAATACAGCAAACACTGATAATGCTGGAAGGATAGGAGGAGAAAAAGTTACTCCTCTTTTGATCACACTTTAATCTTTTTCTTGCCTCATTAACAATGTATTTTATCTTCAAATATTTAATGGATGATGAAATAAATTAAGAGTGAAAAAGAAATAATTTGAGTTGTATATTTCCAATTCATAAGAGGAACGAGTGCAAGTAAGTGAAAATAATTTATTTGTTTGTTTTCAGGTATTGCATTCCCAACATGTATATCAGTCAACAACTGTGTATGTCACTTCTCACCGCTACGGAGCGATAAGAAAGTCGAGCTGAAGGATGGGGATGTTGTCAAGATGTAAGTATAACATGACACAAGAGGGTGTCTGAGGTTTGGAGGGTGGAGAAGTTGTGGGTAGGGAGGAGTGGCTTTAATCTGTATGTTCTGACAGTGTACTGCAAAATTTAAATTAAAGAAAGTAAATACATAGGAGTAGTGAGCAAGTATGTTAACAAAACTCCATAAGACCTCTGGAAAAAATATTTCTGGTTGAACAAAAGAGGAACAACCTCCTAAAAAAAACCTGTAAGGTGGTCCCACTTTTAAGATAGAAAATCTATCAGAGAGCTCCTGTTAATAGAGAAGTAGTTTCTACATTACTGCAACATCAATTAGTCACCACTATCCAGAGCTAATAGATGTAAGAGGTGTTGGAGCATGGCTGGCTGTCGTATGCTAACATCAATATCACCTCTACTGGTAGCAAGATCTAAGGAATTGTACAACGCCCAGACAATTTTTCTTCATCTTAGGCCATTACTCATTGAAGCGTCTCTCCCAAGACGTTTATTTCCAAGTCTCTATTTCACGCATTCATTTTTTTGGTTACACTTGACAGCAAAATTGTTTCCAAAGTTTTTCTCTGTCAGTCTTGTTAACCATGTTTAGAGATATTGGTTAATAGGGTATTGCAGACCTGCCAACCAGTACGATTTAGTCGTATTTAGTACGATTTTTAGAAGCAAATATGACAGTACGATTTTCCTTAAAAAAATTTTTTAATTAAAAAAAAAAAAAAAAAAATTAATATTTTGTGTGTGCCTCAGCCATTTTCAATGGCAAAATGTCCATTCTGTCCTGTAAAGTATCCTGCAAGCATCTCACATCGGCAATTTGGGGATGTTCATTGGTTCATCGAACACACCAGTCATGACGAAATCATTCATATTCAACCAATGATCAATAAAAAAAAATCTTCCTGTAGGTTGAAATTGTAAGAGCCATTGATCCGCGTAACAATCCGTGTTTATTTTCAAGAATACAACTTTTGTTAGTAAAATACAACTTTTGGGACTAAAGAATACAGTTTTTGAACTCCAGAGGTTGGCAGGTCTGGTATTGGATTAGATTTGGCTCAAATGTCAGTGGTGATAATTCAATTTACATCACTATTATTGCCCCTGTTTCTCTTTGACCTGCTAGTGATCTTGGTGCCCATGTAGATGGCTTCATAGGCGTCGTTGCACACACCCTGATTGTCGGGGCATCGTCTGACAACAAGGTCAAAGGTCGAAACGCTGACCTTCTCAGGGCAGCACACACAATGGCTGAAGCAGCATTAAGGAAAGTCAAGCCAGACACACAGGTAGGATATTTAATTAATATTCTCTGTAGAGAGTTAGAGTATGTAGGATGTTACAATGTAAAGTTTTTGAGCCAATATAATCAAGATGACTCGATGTGAATATGAAGTGAACTTCACAAACATGTTTCCGAGAATACTTTTATGAATTGAATGTGGTGAGTACTTGAGATGCAGACTTTATAAATGTACCTTGGCTAAAAAGAGGTCTGGTAATATTTCTTTTACATTAATATCAGTAATGATGTCTATTTTACAGATATTAATGGTGACCATTCACCAAAATAATTTTCTCTATATTTATTAGGTAATATATTGCAGCTTCAAGTATTAATGCAATCCTTGATACATTTTTTCTCCTCCTCATGCTCGTCCTAACAATTTCTGTGCATAGTCATTGGGAGTGATTTTTCTTTGAACAACAAAGTATTTTTGATGGTTGGTTCCCCAGAGATTTCATTCTTAATGTAGTTTCTCTCTGAATATTAGCTTTTTTTGATGCATCTGCAATGTTTTGTTGTTTATTTATCTTTGTTCAGAATAATGAAGTAACGGAGATGATCCAGAAGGCTGCTGAGTCTTTTGGTTGCAAACCAGTCTCAGGGATGTTATCTCATCAACTCAAGAGAAACATCATCAATGGTGAAAAGAGTATCATCCAAAACCCTACAGAAGAACAGCTGTAAGTTATCCAACCCTGCGCCCTCCAAACTTGCATATTATGCCATAAATTAAAAGTTAATAATTAAAAGTTTAAACAATATAGGTGCATTGTGCTGTTTGTGCCTCCACCCTTAGTTGCCTACTTTTTTTCACTCGCTATCTATTTAACACGTAAAAGAATTTATTTTGCAACAGTATTATTTTGTGGAGGTATACTAAGTTTTATCTGAACAAGGATTTTAAGCCTGTTGTACAAGTGGTGTCATTCCTCTAGAATTAATGCCACAATAAATAGTGAACAATACTACTGATAATAGATGCTGCTTGTAAGTATCGGCTTGCATGGTGATGTAGATATACAGTAGGCTTGCGGGTGCACCATGTGAGAGACAGAGGGAGGATTGAGGAGTCCTGAAAAGGAAAGGACTCTCTGTAATCTTTCTTGAGGGTGTGTAGTCCTGAAAAGGACTGTTGGTATAGTCTTGAAAAAGACTGTTGGTTATCTTTCTTAGCTTATAGTTCTAAGGAGAACTATAGCGCTTGGAGAGGATGAGTGGCGGGTACACATGAGGAGTTGTACCAGTATTTACAGGTAACTCTGCTCAAGTCATATCTGTTGGAACAGCAAAAATAGTTTGCCTTAAATGCAAAATTACATGTAGGAAGTGTAAATAAAACATGTTTTTCATAGTTTGGTCGACAAAATTGATTGACTTAGGAAAATTCGACTTGTGCTACTTCCCGTTTACTGTACTACATTGTCTTCTATACCATCAGTATGAAAAAGTGTTGCCAGTCTGCAGTTTGGTTTACAAGCGATTGGGATTCTACTATGGATTAAAAAAAAAACGTATTAAATATTAAGGTAGGTGAATTCTAGATTGATATAGACAATGTTTTTGTCATATTCTGGTCAGAAATGTTCTGAATTATTTGTTTTGTTTCCAGGCGAGAGCACTCCAAGTGTACCTTTGAGGTTCATGAGGTTTATGCTATAGATGTACTGGTGAGTACAGGAGAAGGCAAGGCTAAAGAACGAGAGAATAGGGTCACGGTCTACAAGAGGACCGATGAAACTTACCAGCTCAAGATGCGTACCTCGAGAACATTCTTCAGTGAGCTGACCAAGAGATTCACCACAATGCCTTTCTCACTCAGGTAAGTCAACTACTGTAAACGCTGTTATTTTCGCGCGATTAATTTTTCGTGCTGAGCGACCCCAAAACATATTCGCTGGTTCTTAAATTCACGTTGCACCAAATTCAGCTCACACAAGAAGTCATATTATATTTTTGCGGGTTCTAAAATTTGCGGACAACCAACCTAAGCCTGAAATCCGTGAAAATTAATGTACCACAAATATTTCTGCGTATATTTTACAGTAAGTGGTAGGGAAGGAAAGCTTTAGATGTTGTTTCTATCAGTGAATCACTGTTGGTAAAAGGGATGCAATTAATGAATATTTCTTTTGAAACATCTGTATAGATATATTTTCCGACTGATTCACTGGATGCCTATCTTGATTTCTAGTAATGATGGGGAATATATTCTTTAAAAAAATCAAACAAATGTGCACAGAAATGTTGTAAACTACAAATAAATGACTACAAAGATATTTTGGTAGCAACTGATTGCTAAGTAATGGGCAAAGAAATGTCTACAAGGAAATAAAACTATTTGTGCCACTGTTATGCGACATGAAATCTAGAATTTATTACAAGTCAGTTTTCCTCTAAATTTCCTTACCAGAACATAGGATCAACCAAAATCTTGATGTTTTATTTCTTTTCAAAATAATAATAATACATTTATAGAGTGCAGAAACTATCCAACATTAATATTAATCTGATAAAGCGAAGAGTATGAATTGATGATTTGCTGAAGTTTATGCCATTTCAACAGCGGAATTTCATTTAGAACTACTCTTTTATATTGTATCAATGATATTAAAAATTACAGATTTTAATGTCAGGCTAATTGTTGAAAGGGACAGCATATTATTTTGTCACAAGTGATTTGGAAGTAACTGATCAATTTTGTCAATGTTTTTGCAAGAAAATCAATAAAACTTTCTTTTTTGATTGCAGGTCGTTTGAGGATGAAGGCAAGGCTCGTATGGGTATCGTAGAATGTCTGAACCACAATCTTGTTGAACCTTATCCAGTTCTATATGAGAAAGATGGTAAGCTATTTACATTTAAATTTTTTTTAAATCTAATTAAAACAAAAAAATGGGCTTAGTTTAGACCAATGTTACCACAGAATGAAAGTCTCTTCTAGAGGCAAGGGAGAGTCCAAGATTCCATCGCAGAACAATCAATTGGTAACCTGTACCAAATATGTTATCTCTCTCTCTCTCTCTCTTGTGATCACATTATCATTGGAACCTATGGATGGATTACCATCAAACTCAAGATATGTATGTTTCTTGCAGAGCCAATGAACTGAGTAGATGTTGGGGTCATGAGGTCAAAGATCAAAGGGTCATACATGTATTTCAGAAATAGCATGTAATCACAATATTCTGAGAACCTGTCGATGGATTACAGTCGTACTTGAATTTGAAAATTGGTTCTGTTTTGGTTACTAAAATTGCTCTATGACAGAGGCATCATTTTCGACTGCGCGCAGTCAAAGTTCCATCTAGTTAAACTTATTTTCAACATTCAAGTCTGTCACTGTTACATGTTAAAAACCCTTGTGGACTGCCCTGTTAAACATAGACCAGTTGTTATTGGAGGATATGACATACAACCTTTACTTGCATGCACATTGTCATGGGTTATTTTTTACTTCAAATAATAATAATGATAATGAACGTTACTTTCATAGCACATCTCACTAACACAAAGAAGTCCCTATCCGCTTAGGAAAAAAGGAAATAGAGAAAGGGCAGAATAAGAAGTGAACAATTATGCCTGATACATAAAAATAATTAATTACAAACAACAAAAATGATACACAATTTCTATGTACATGTAGCATATAAATATTATCTCAGTCCCATAGTGAACCTGGGTTTTTTTGCATGCCATAACAGCCCATGTTATGGTGTGTAGTAAACCCCAGGGAAAGTAAAATGAGTTTAGAGAGCTAATATTTCATCCCCTGATCAATTCTGTCTGTGGGAAATTTGCCCTTTGAACTTTAAGAGATACATCATGTATGGTGCACTTACACATGGGAGTAGTTACAAGTTTTTTAACAAGGACAATGACAAAGAGCAAGCACTTTGTGCAGGTATGTCGCATGCACAATCGCCTTCGAGCATTTAGGTTTAGGATGGATTACTGAATATATCAAATTGATCAAAATTTATTCACGTTGAAATGTATTTTATTTATTAATAAAAAACGCATTTGCAAAATGTATGGAACAGATCACAAAATACTAATGCATGAATGAGGAGACAGCTTATAATGGCAAGGGCCTTATTAATGCTGCCTACAAATAGTTAACAGAAAGATAATAAATCATGACAATGTTAAAAATTGTTTGGCTTTATCACAAGGGTGTGAAAATGTTTGTCTATTTAACCTGATATGTAACACATCCTTGATTCTGTATTTCAGGTGAGTTTGTGGCACAGTTCAAGTTCACAGTGCTCTTGATGCCTAACGGACCCTTGAAGATAACAGGTCTACCGGTCGATCTATCTCTCTATCCATCAGACAAGTCAGTTGAAGACAAAGAACTAAAGGTAAGACCCAAGCATGGTCAGATATACCTCACTCATTTTCCCACTCTAATATTATTTTTTTTCTCAATGTAATCAGAAAATAAGAGGAATAATTACATTTGAGAAAAATCCCCCTTCCCCCCAAAAGTAATATTTTTCAGAGATTGAGAAAGACAATGTGTCTGCCCCCATAACCATGCTACATAAAATATTTCAAGGTTGGTATTTGTTCAAGATCAGAAAACAACTTACTCGTAGATCAAGGTTTGGGAATGTGTTTGATTTTTGCAAGCTTCACTTTGTACAATTAGTAACAATCAGTTTATTATTTTGATAGCAACTTGATTTGTATAAGGACTTTCTGGGTGTATGATCTGATCTGATAGTCAGTTTTCACTATTAATGATGTTGATTTCTTCCGATCTGCTGATCACTAGGAAAGTAAATGTTGGAAGCATAATTTCTTATGCCTACATATAATCTTCTGAAATTAAATTCATTGAAAAGAAGGAATTGCAAAGTACTGATGAAGTGTTCACTTTAAATTCAATTTGCCTATTTCAGGAGCTGCTTAATTCCTCAGTTAGTCGCAAGGCTCAGAAGAAGAAGAAAAAGAAGGTAAGTCGATCAATCACAGAAAAAAAAAGTCCTTTGAAAATATTGATAAGAAGGGTATTGATAAATGACATGTAGAGTGAGCTGTAACCCAATGTCTTATTGTTGGTTTCTGCCATCAAGAATAGATCCCTCTTGTCATGGTTAATGGAATACTGCCCTCTGTAGTGTAGTGGAAGCATAATTAAGGTCATGCCACTCCAGGAGGTCAAATTCAGAGTTGACAATATGCACATCTTTTATGTCTTCAAGTCAGATGTGCCACTGGTGACATTCTTACATTTAAAGACAAGATGGTCAATTTTGTTTAGATTTGTCTCTTATAAGTGATAAAGGAGGCGATGAACAAATGTGCACCTGTACACCCCAATCAGTTATAGCAGGAGAGACCTGGGAGTTACAGTGGTTAAGGTTGCTTTTCCATTCCCAGGCACAGGTGATGCCAAATAATAATAATATTGGGTTCTTGTATAGCACTCATGTCTGTCAGACCTGACACTCCTGGCGCTCCTGATTAATATAATTAATGATGATAATAATACTTAATGATAATAATAATAAGAAGAATATACTCCACCAAACTTGTTCTATAAAATGATTCTCTGTTTGCTATCTCTCATTGCAGGCGGCCAAGCAAGCAGAGGCAGCAGAAGATGAAGAAGCGCCTACCCTGGTCGAGGAGAAGAAACCTACCCTGGTCGAGGAGGAGAAGAAATGATAGCAAGTCATTCATATCTGTGTATAGGACAGTATTGTGTGTACGACCATCATCTCAACGTGTGCGGACAAGATGGTGTAGTTTTCAGTTCCCTCTCCCCCATATCCTATCGTCTTTTAAATTTTAGTTTCTTTTTTATTATTTCTTGCTACAAGTATTTTTTCAACTTGTAATTATTGATTTCTATGGAAGCCACAGTTTTCTGCCGGGATGGTTTGTAAGAAAGTGCAGAGTATCTGCATGAAGCAAGAGTGGAATCTTATGCATTTGTGACCATTGATAGTTTAATGAAGAAGATATAGATCGAGGTTTGTTGGTGAGGGTCAATTAAAACAGGCTATAAGAAAGATTTGGATGAACACAGACGTAGAGATGGATAAAAGTGTTGACTGTACTTGAGCCTTCATATGGGATGCATTGTCTATGGTGTAAGGGCATGGGTAAGGATGAGATTGAAAAGATTGCTTAGAAGAGGGAAGAGCAAATAACCACCACACAGATGAAATTTAAAGAATGTTTAGACATGAGTATGTTATGCAATTATACTTTGAAGGAGTAAAGAGGGATATGAAATCATTGAAGGTCTGTATCTTATAGTCCAGAAAATCAAGGTTTAACTAAAAAAGAGTATGTTTGATTTTTATATCAACATTTAGAATTGGGACCGAGTATTTTGCGGATGTTTTATGATTAGCTATGAATGGCAGAGGGCCTTGGCTGACGTGTTTGTGATTTTGAGATATCAGCCAATATGGGTTTGGGTAAAGTTTTAAAGAAAAAATAAGCAAGATATTTTGATGGAAATGTAAAGCCTGCGACTGGAAAAGGCAACTCTGTAATTATTATCTTTGTATCCTCATTGTTGATTTCTGTTTCCAAGATTCTTTATGTCATGTCAGCTTATTCTTCTGATTGTAAGGATGATTGTAAGGACTGTTACCAAACAATGACGTCATTTGATAAGATTTTCTTCTTTTCATAGCTTGAGATTGAGAGAAAAAGCTTTTAAGATCTGGAAAGGTCATAGAGATAATTGAAATCATTGTTTCTTATTTCAGTTAAAAAGACATGTGGTCGATGTTCCTGGGTCCAATTATTTGCAGTGACGTGCAGAGAGAAAGACTCAGAGATGTTGAAAATGTTAATAAGAGCCTTTTAAGAGATGAAGATTCAGATCTTGATATATGCTCTATGAGCCAAGCTCTTTATATATCAGTATGTGCCCTGGTAGGACAAAATTCATATTTTGTGTAATTTTTTATCAAACCTATTACGGCCTCAAGACAGACTATTCTTGTATACAAGCTTTATGAAATCTTGCTCGCAGTTGTAGTTGTGTTTTGTAATGTCAACTTGAATATTTAGTATGAAGGATCATTGTGTGCCAGTCTCAAAGATGTTTTTAGTAATGAGTGTGAATTGCTTTTTTCTTTTTCCTTGGCCAATTATTGATCATGTAAAATACTTGGTTCAAGTAATGGCTAGAGTCTTCCAAGAGTTTGGTAGTACTTAGTTTAGTTTTTAGATCCTATGTTTGTGGAAAGCCAGAAGTTCATATATATATTCAGGAGACCCAACATAATCTGTAGAATTTGCTGAAAATATAGAATTCTTTTCCCACAAAGTGTAAAACAATCAATGGACATTTTCAATTTGTTGAATTAATCCTTGCTATGTGGTCTTGGAATTAATTGAAAGCTCTCTGATAAACTATCCATAGAGAATTTTATTTTTATCCAAACAAGGTAGATGTGCTCCTCAACAAATTGTATAAAAGTATCTTCTGTAATAATTTGTCTGGAATTTGTGGTTTCTTTATTGGTGCTTTAACTCGTCACCTGCTTTGGTCAACCATTCAGGAAAGTGAGATTGCCATATTTGACATTTGTCACACATTCAGTGCTCATGAACTGTACACAATGTGGCAGTCTCGGGTTTTGATCCATGGTGAAAAATGAGGTAAAAGGATATTTAATTTTGATATGGTCGTACCACATGAAAACATTGACAATTTAAGGGGTGGGAAATAGTCCCCCCCCCCCCCCCCTGCACCAACATGTGATTTTAAATTTTAACATATTTTTTTTGTCATCAAGACAATCTGCTGTTGACGGTCGTTATCTTTTAATTTTGGGCCATTTCCCTGTTAATCATAATTTTTAGATTTTTATTTGTATTAATACGATTGGTATGAGCTGTGGTTTATGAGTTATCACTGTGAAACCAATACTACTTGTAGATAAAACCTTAAAACTTGAAATATTTCAAGGAATTGGGGACCACCATTTACTAAGTTTTCGCTGTTTTGCTCTCAAATGGCTTGTGAAATGTATGAAAAGAAATTGTGAATTCTGTGTTCATGAATTATGTATCGTTTGTCTCTAAGAGTGATTATGTAATCAAATTATTAATTGCTTTGTTAGATTAAGCCCTCATTGGTATCATTTATAGATAGCTTTTGTAGAATAAGCAACTATGATCCATATCATTTGTGTATTCAACTATTCTTTTTCAAGTAGGAAATCTTGACAAAAATCTAGGAATTAGTTGAAGAGATGACCGTCTTTGGTGGCGATGTTTCTGCAGGCAATGGGCACATCTGTATGATCTGATGTTATGTCTTAATGACGTATGTGATGATGAAATATTTGAGTAGTTTTAGGGATGGGGGATTGCCCGGTACCGTACAATCAGTCATGTCTGTGGTCTTTTGCTTATTTTTTCATTCTCAATCTTTATGTTCTTTTTCATGAAAACGAGGAGAAAATAAAAGTAAATGCCAGGTGATCACAATAAACAAGAAGAAAGGAACATTTGCTGAGCTTTGTGTTTGTGTAAGAACCTACTGTAGACACAAAAACTCTTGCAACATGAAACTATCAAGATTTATTAACAAGAGTGATTTTAATGACCAGAGACTTCCAAATTGCACCCAAAAAAAATCAGTGTTCTGTCAGTTACTCAATTTATTACTCATTACTGAATGAAACTTTCTTGAATCTGAACCATGTGTGAAATTCTGAAAGTGTCATTTGCTGAAAGGTTGCTAGTTTTGACTGTAGATGGACCTCTGTGAAAAGTGAAACAAATCCCCCTCACATTGATGTATAGATTCTAAACGTGCAAATAATTACCATCTTGGGATGGTATAGGAAAGAGAGATGACAAGGAATGAACAATGGAGACCGTGAGAGAGAAACTAGAAGAGAGAGAGAGCGAGAGTGAGATAAATAAGGGGGTGGGGACGCTGAGAGTCGAGGCGATGCAACTAATTATCAAACATTCATGTATCTACATTACATTGGACTTGAGAGAGAGGGGGTATGTAAATGAGGAAAATATGTGATGCAATTATTCTCAAATGACGATTGCTTCTACCTTTATTTTGTCAGAGCTAAAGGGTTAGGGTTTTGATTTCTGTACAATAAAACTAGAATCTTGTGATTGTATTTAAGGTTGGACTTCAGGTTATTTATAGTATTGGGGCCAAGGTTGGAAATTAAGAATTTGGTTTATTAGTGCCGGAAATTGACTGTAGAGTAATTGTCAACGAAGCATGTTGTTCTACAACAAAAACGGTACACTTTTGTATGAAATAACAACACACATATTTTCCGTGATATGCAGTATAAGCTTTAATATTCAACTGATATTCCTCCAAAATTGGTTGACAGTATGATACATGCATAATAATAATAATATTTAGCTTTTATATAGCACTTAATAAAATGTTTCTAAGCGCTTTACAAATATACTATCACCCGGTCATTGGATTCAGTGCTTGCCCGCACACACTGTGTGTACAATCTCCACTCCCTGGGGAGCATTCCAGCCAGGCGTTACTTGATGCTCAAAAACTGACCAACATTGACGGTCGCATCCTACCGGGTACCCAGCATACCATGACCAATTTTCCACACCGGGATCAACTAGACAAATTGCTTTGTCAAGTACATTCATAGATACCTGTAGACATCCAACTAGTTTTAGAGGAAATGATTTTTGATGAGCCATGCTGCTTTTGTGACTCCCAAAATTTGTTTTGATTTGTTTGCTCATTGTGATACTGGGGTTAGCTAATATGGTACTCATATTTAGATGGTTTCCACAAGCGAGCACTAACCAATTGAATACCTTCATGCATGTAGCTCTACAGCTAGTACTGTTAATTCTCAAATGAATGTAAGTTGTACTGGTGTCATCTCTTAGATCATGTGGTACAAACTTTCCACGAAGCTAATTTCAAAGGTCTGATAAAAGTTAATAGTAATGTGAGAATCAATGCCTTCTCCTTCAGACAGAACACACAAATCAAGGTTTATCACACGTTATAATAAATATTAATATCGATATAAAACTGATAATATAAATATCAATCATTCAATAGCTAGCATCTAGCATAATACATTGAGCAAAGCATGTTTAGCATTACTGAATACATCCTTAGTGTCATGATAACATTAAATGAATACAAGTAATATACTGTCAGCACTTATTAAAATATCACAAATCACAACCAAACATCTACCTACATAATTTGATCCATTCATCATCATGTTTATATTACTGTTTGCACAAAATGTTGAAACACAATTCATTTGCAATTTTGCACCATAAAAGGCTTTGCACTGTGCTAAAAAGATTTTTAAAACATAATTGTGACATTTGACATGTCATCCGTCACATTTGGTCTAAAGTAAAGTAATTAGTATTAAATAAAATGAATAAACTTTAATTGAAGGAAAAAAGTTCTATTGATGTGAAATAAATCTTGAGAATAAATCAATAAAAAATCAAATAGGATGAGAGAGGAGACTAATCAGAGAAAGTTCCCAAACTCAGAATAACTTTCAAGGATTTTTGTCACTTCAAAATTAATTCTGATCATTAATGTGCCAAATTCAGTCTTTCCTATGAATATACTTAAAATAAAATAAAGAATATTCATGTATGAAAGAAGCATTATCAAACTTCAGAACACATATTTTAAATCATTGTACAACATTTAGTAAAATAAATAAAAATAAATGCTACCATAATAACGGAAATATGAATATAAATCTTAGTCACACTAAAGTAGATTCATTGCACAAGTACTGTAAGCTAACATCATTCAGCCTATTTATACGGCAAGGAGCTGCATATCTATTTACAGTTACTCTAATCCTGCAAAAAGCTGTTACAATTTCTAACAGTCTAACACAAACAGATGTTTGCTGTATTTATATTACCATTTACATTGGCTTTTAAAATTGAATAGCTAGCACTCATGTCTGTCAGGCTAGACACCCTGGTGATCCACATTGTAAAGAAGTTGGGAAAAGAATTGGGACATATAATGAAGATAATACACCGGAATAAAGACTACTGCAACAATATTTAGAAAAAAATGTTGATGTTCTGGATACAGTCTAGTGAGTCAATATTCCATTACCACGTGCTTTGTTTCCATGTATTTATATGGACTAACAAGTGTTTTGACATGTACAGAAGAAGAACAAGAGTCTATTGTACTATGTTTTGTGCTTTTTCAAAATTCATATATTCTCACTCAATGGCGTATTAAATAGAAATAGTGAACAAACAACTATACAACATTAATTGCTCTGCAAAAGTTAGGACCTTCCAAAACTGTTTTTCACAGTACCACCAAATTAATGGAGTTGCAATTAGATCATATTAGTACTATATGCAGTGTGAATGACCCCTTAAAGTGCATCTCTTGATAGTGCAACAGTGAAGACCCTTTCACACATGTCTTGGGCGTACTCGATCTGATGTGGTGCTACCCATGAAAGGTGGTACAGGACGCATTGATGGTGACTCTCCACCTGCAAAATCAGAAAACAAAAGAAAGACAAGAAAACAAAATAAGCAATAATTTAACAGAGTATACTTGTAGGTAGTTTCACAGTAGCATCACTGAGAAGTTGAATGTGATAGAAGTAATGAAAAATAGAGGAAGAAAAGCTCTGAAACCCCATGGACGAAAATGACAAACATTGATAGATTACAATGAACACAACGAATATCACAAGACAGTCGTAAAGTCACACACAGATGTACAAACTAGAATGATATATATCACAGGATGATTTATGTAAAGAAAGAAGAGTATATATGAAATGTTAATAAAATAAGAACAAAAATAACAGCAAGATACAACAGAAAGATACAGAAACAGTACTCACTCCAAACACATAGAACAACAATATAAATCATGAAGAAGAAAAAATAATTAAAAAAAAAAAAAAAAAAAAAAAAACAAAGAACAGAAAAAAAAGAATATATTTTTAGTACATTTAAGGACTTACAACAGAAACAGATTTAAACCAAATCATCCCGTCATCTTAAAATCAGAATAGATTTCAATTTTAGACATCAAATGAAATTTGTTATCACTGACAAATCTAATTCTGAATGTAACACATATGAAAGAAACAGAAAGGTTGTTAGTAAGATTGTATTTTGTAATCTTTGTTCTACATACAGTAAGTGTTATGAAATGCACTTGGCATGCAAACAGATCATCACTGATCAGTGGATCAGATGGCTGGATCTTTTCCAATGGATAATCAAATTGGAATTGAAACTACAACATTTCTTTCAGTTTGCATCCCCTAAAAGTTAAATGTGAATATTGCATCATCAATATGCAAATAAGTTAAATAACAAAAAGGCAAATTGGTTGCTGAGAGGCAGGAATTTTTTATTATAGTTGGATTTTAATATGGCTCATAAGACTGCAAATTTGGAGGAAGGGGAGGGTTGGAGATTGAGAGTGAGAGAGAGAGAGAGAGAGAGAAAGAGAGAGAGAGAGAGAGAGAGAGAGAGGGAGGAAGAGAGAGATAGAGATAGAGAGACACCTATAGACAGAAGATACAGAGAAAGAAAGAAGATATGAAGAATTAAGAAAATGAAATAAAACAAACTTTAACTATGCAAAAAACACTCAATGAAACAAGATGATAAATAATTACAAAAAGGAAAAATTGCAAATACAAGTACACAGAAACACACACACACACACACAAACAAAACATACAGGGAAAGTGAGAGAGAGAGAGAGAGAGAGAGAGAGAGAGAGAGAGAGAGAGAGGTGGTTCAGCTTGCATTAGGGTGTAATGTAAATGCTTAAATAAAATATTACGATTAAAATTTGTCTATAAAAAAAAAGAAAATGAAGGAAACAATAAGAGGCTTAATATTCAATAAAATAACTTTTGATAATGAATAAAAGAAAAGAAAATAAAATAAATAAAAATTGTTCATGCTTTGTACATGTGTTGACTATGAGGTGTTTTACTTGTTAAAGAGTTAGGATTGAAGATTGTGGTCCAGCTCTGTGTTTGCGTCCTTTAAGATACAAGACAAATCTAGATGGTTAGTACGCAAGTAGGTTACAGCAAACCGGAGCAAACATGTTCAGTGAAACTCGTCTATAAAGACCACCCAAGGGAGACAAGAAAAGTGGTCTTTATAGGCAGGTGGTCTTTATGTACAGGTGCCTATAGTACATGTTTCAATGAGAAACCATTTTCAAGGGAAACAAAAAAAATGTGGTCTTTGTAGACAGGTGGTCACTAAAGCAGGTTTAACTGTACATTGTAAAGTAATTTTATCTCAATGTGGAGATATTACACTGTGTTGTATGCACACATTTCAGAAATTTTATACATTAAAACACAAGACTGAACAAGGAACTTTACTCTATATAATGCATTCCCATTCCATGTGCAACGGAACATTGGATGTTCCTTTCACTTTCATGTATGCATATCATTGGTTACAAGCAAAAAGGTCATTAATTC